TGGGCTACAGTCCATGGGATTGCAGAGAGTCAGACGTGACTGAGCCACTGACACTTGCTTAGCCTTCTTTATGGTCCAACGCTCACATCCGTACATGACTACTGGAAAAAACATAGCTGTGACTATACAGACCTTCATCGGCAAAGTAATGTCTCTGCTAAACATTTAAGCACTTTGAAAATGAAACTTCTGTGGTCTGAAGCCTGTCACAAGGAGAAATTTATTTATCTTTTTTGGTAACTAGGACATGGTCTGGAATTCTAAGTGATGCTCTAAGGATGATCAGTCTGTGGGTGTCGTGAGCCCCCAGAGCAGGAAAGGCAGGGAGCAGCCTGGGCTGTTCTGACCTTCTGTGCAAAACCGTGTTCAGGGTGTTGAATGCTCCACAGACTTCCCAGGTCTCGGTTCCTCCTTGGGTTCAGCTTTAATAATCCAGTGACCCAGGTCAGCATGACTAAGTCGGCCTCGTTTTCTATTTTAAGAAAGCACAAAGTCCTGAGGTCACCGGCTGCTGCTTCATTTGGGCGTGCCTGGGAGGGTCATGTCAGGGAGACCCCACCCTCTCCGGTCAGCCAGAGGATGTACTTGAAGCAAGTTGGATCTGTTTCCCCTGAGCAAGCTGCTCCTTTTTGCTCTGAATGAACCAGATCCAGGTCCCCTGAATGAGGGGCTGAGCCCCACGGGCAATGCCAGGAAGGCCATGGGTCTGCTGGGCAGGGCTCAGGGGCGGGGACCCCTTCCTTGGTCCCTGCACTCCACCCCCTGCCTCCACCTTCAGCCTCTACCCTCACTCAGATGCAGACACATGTTTGTGGAACAGAATCAAATATTGGTTAAGAAAAAAAAAAGAACAAGGCCTTGGAGACCTGTGTTTCTTGTCTCTTTGCCACTTGCCAGCTTCAGATGCCTGGGCAAGTTTACTAACCTCCCTGGGTTTAAGTTGTTTGCTGCTCGTTGACGGAACTGAAGAATTATTAATGTGGTTGCTAAAGGGGCAACAGGCTCTAGCTTTTGCGGTTGCCACCTCTCTCTGTCTGCTCCCGGGTCCGTGGGGGGAGGCCTGGCTCTCAGTTATCAGGACCTCTTTACATCACTCATCGCAGTTCACTCTCACATCTCTAAGAGCAAAGCTGCTCCTACTGTGATCCCATTTCACTGATAACTAGAATGAGGCCTGCTGAGATTGACTTCTCCAGTCCAGGCACCCTGACTGCAGACTTCCCCTGCTCAATCCCATACTGGTTGTCATTTCNGGAAAGATGAGATGTCAGAGCAGTCTACAAATGGAGTCTCCAACTGTGTCCCCGTGTCCTGGGGGAAGAGGGGCTTGGGGTGAGGACAGAGGTTGAGAACCAGGCAGCAGACCACAGCCCCAGCTGCTTGGGAGGCACTGGCCCTCCGCACCCTCGGCTGGGGGACCTATGCATGCAATGCCCTCTGGGGTGGGGGACCCGGGTGCCGTGGTTGGGAGAGCCTGGAGGGGCTCAGGGACAAAGGAGCCTGGCTCCTCTCCAAGCTGGAGCTTCCATTTCTGAACTGACTCTAGACAATCCTCTCCCACACATCCTCTCCCACCACGCCGGGCCTGTACCCTGGTCCAGGCTGTAGAAAGCCACCAGATTAGACCACTAAGAACCTGGCTTCAGGTCTGCACTCAGGGGCTGTTTTCAGGGATGAAGAAGATGAACTCAGGGTGGATGAGGGCAGGAAGGAGAGCCTGTTCTGGAAATTGGTAGGTGTCTGCCTACACTTTGCAGAATAGCCAGTTTCCAGGGCTTCTAAGAGGCCAACCAGAAAGCAGGAGGCTGCCAATGTCTACCTGTGTGGCTACGAGCCACATACAGCGGCACCAATACAGCATCTGGGGCTAGCGGCAGGATGGCCATTCAGACCCAGAGAAGTGTCAGACCCAAGGAGACAACTCCCCCGGCCCAGTCCAATCCACAAGCTTTGGTGAGATGATCCAATGAAATTGTAATGCTGATGGTCAAGCTAACCTGGATTACTTGGAGGTTACTCTTTCTCCCAGCATGCTTTGCAAGCATCAGCTCATTAGAGAAACCCCATCCCTTTGACTTTAGTAACTTTAGCATTATTATCATAGCCTCTATGTTCTTACAAAATTGAAGAGCATAGTATTCTACATGGTAATCTCGTTCATCATAGCAGGACCACATGGGTTGACTGGAGGTCCTACGACAATCCCTGAAACATTCAAGTTTCATAGAACAGTTTGGACTCCTGCCAAATAATGTTCCCGCTGGTTCCATTAAAGCAGAAGTAAGAGAATGCACGTTTGTTAAGTAGGTTTAAAACAGCAAGGCTTTCCTTGTGGCTCGGGGGTAAAGAGTCCACCTGCAATGCAGGAGACAAAGGTGTGATCTCTGGGTAGGGAAGATGGAGAGGGAAATGGCAACCCACTCCAGTATTCTTGCCTGGGAAATTCCATAAGCAGAGGAGCCTGGTGGGGTGCAGTCCGTGGGGTCGCAAAAGAGTCGGACACAAGTAGGCAGCTGAACAACAGAAATGAAAGAGCAGCAGAGCGCTGCTCAGAGGCACTTCTCTCCCTGAGAAAAGTCACTCAACCCTCACCGCCCCACGGACAGGAGACCGTGGAAGAGGCCAGGACCGGGCCTTCCAAGAGTGCCTGCGTCTGTGAAGAGTCAGCCGGCCACTTTGTTCCTTCAGAAGGTTTTCACTGAATACACACGCGGCTTCTTTACCTTCTACCTTCAGATGTGACGAGGGAGCCTATCGCTTCATCGCCCTAACTGTGAGCTGCAGTTCCACTTACCTGATTTTCCTATGTCCTAAATGTCTCCTCAAATCCATGTATGATCTCAGGAGTGAGATAGTTTGTCCTCTAAAGACACCAAGCTCTGTTCAAACGCTGAGATGAGTAAACGCAGGCTTCACCTCTTGCCATGTCCTTTGCACGAATGTTATACATGAAATGAGATGCAGTTATTACCCTTAGCTTCCTTCTTTGTTACTCGTCCCCGTTATTAAAATCTGATATAAAGTTCAAGCCTCCAAAGCACATAGATGCTTTTAGCCTCAAAGAATTGAGAACATTCTCACCGTGGTTAATCATATTTTTAATACATTCAGTTTCACAATATATTAATTTATTAGAATAATTTTGGCTTTGTGGGACTTGGGGGTGGGAGGTTACGGAGTACTGACTTTTCAAAGAGTGAGCACAATTTTGTGTCTAAGTACACAATTCACAGGGAATTAGTGGCTGCTTTTTGAATATCTGTCTTGACTGTTCAACAGTGATCTCCCTGGGGGTGGGAACCTGGCTTAGCATGGTGTTCACCACATTGCAGGTATGCAGTGCTTCTCAAAGGAAAAAAATGTTATTGCTAGAACAGACTGTTCATCTCCGCTAGTTTCCTAAAGGATGTATCCTTCTGTCCAAAGAGCTGCTGCTTTGTAAATTACACCATGGGGATTCTGTTCCCTTAGGCTCTGGTTCTATCACAATGTGAAAGGTGATTATTTCAGAATCCTGACAATATTTGACCCCAGCTAACTTGTAGGATATTCAAGCCTAAAAGATTCTCAAAGTGATTTTCCAAGAGAATATCCTACAGGCAAAGTAGGCCAAATCCATCTGGTGTTTTTTTTTTTTTGATATTCCAGGTCACCCACTGTCCTCTCGTGAGCCATGAACTAGTTCCACCCACCTGTGCTTGGAAGGCAATCCATCATTGCACTGTGCTCCTGCCCTGGCTCTGACCCAGGATATACCTGCAAGCCACAGAGTGGGACCCCACGTCTTACTGAGCCTCCGGCCTCCAGGAGTCTGCTGATGGGTGATGCTCACTCACCCGTGTCGGGGACACCACAGCAATCGGGCAGAGCGTCGGTTGACGGGGTTTTTAGAACTCGCCACAGTATGACATTTCTATTTTGACTGAACTAACAACAATATTTTTAAAGCAAAAATATATTTAACCTTCTTAGCATGAGGCTAGAGGGGCTATAATTTTCATCTTTCCTTGATCTTCTTCCTTCCTCATCTTTTTCCCTGCCAAAAATTCCACCTTGGAAACTCAAAACTGAGTGCCAGTCTCTCTACCCACCACTGGGTTTAAGTTATATCAGAGGCGGAGGGTCCAGAAGTCCAGGTCACACACCCCTAAGTCTCTCCTTTCCCTTCTAACACCCGGTCTAGGAAAAACAGTTTCTGGATCCTTCTGTGTCTGCAAGTCTCCATTCACAGAGTGAAATCAAAATGCGTGGCCCCTCCTGTGGGGAATGAGGTCACAGGTAGCAAAGTGCTTTGAGCAACTCAAAGGGGAGGCGTGTGACACAAGCCTTTATTACTTAAGAGAGTGAGGCCGGGTCGGAGGGGCGACAGGCTCACAATCGCGTGCGCTGCTTTGAACACGACGTGGACCGCAGAGCTTTTTCTTCACCTTCCCCACCCTCACGGGAGGCGTCCTCTGTCAAGGGTGCATCATTTATGAAGAACGCAGTGTTATGAGATGCGAACCTGTCACTGAGTCTCGGTCGGACACGGCCACACAGCCAGTTACTGCTCTGAGAGCCGGCGAATGACAGAGTAGACCTAGCCCCCAACGAGGACACGGACTTCAGAATAAAATCCCATCCCTCGGCGCAGACTCCATGGGCTTCCTCCGCTCCTGCTTCCGCCGGTATCTGGCCTTCTGGTAGAAGATGACGATGACCGCTTCACACACCCCTAAGTCTCTCCTTTCCCTTCTAACACCCGGTCTAGGAAAAACAGTTTCTGGATCCTTCTGTGTCTGCAAGTCTCCATTCACAGAGTGAAATCAAAATGCGTGGCCCCTCCTGTGGGGAATGAGGTCACAGGTAGCAAAGTGCTTTGAGCAACTCAAAGGGGAGGCGTGTGACACAAGCCTTTATTACTTAAGAGAGTGAGGCCGGGTCGGAGGGGCGACAGGCTCACAGTCGCGTGCGCTGCTTTGAACACGACGTGGACCGCAGAGCTTTTTCTTCACCTTCCCCACCCTCACGGGAGGCGTCCTCTGTCAAGGGTGCATCATTTATGAAGAACGCAGTGTTATGAGATGCGAACCTGTCACTGAGTCTCGGTCGGACACGGCCACACAGCCAGTTACTGCTCTGAGAGCCGGCGAATGACAGAGTAGACCTAGCCCCCAACGAGGACACGGACTTCAGAATAAAATCCCATCCCTCGGCGCAGACTCCATGGGCTTCCTCCGCTCCTGCTTCCGCCGGTATCTGGCCTTCTGGTAGAAGATGACGATGACCGCGGTGACTGCGTTTAGGAGGATGACCAGCAGGGTGAGCCAGAAGGAGTATCCGTAAGCGTGGGACGTCCCTTGCTGAGTGGACGCTGGATAGAGCGGGTACAGCCTCTGGGCCAGCTCTTCCGAGAGATGATTGGACTGTGTGTTCCCCACAAAGAGTACCATGGTTATGAATGTGAAGGATGCTGAAGGGAAGAAAGAGTTCGTAAATAACGTGGTGGTATATTTTAATGAATATTTTTATTTTTAAGATTTTTTTTTTATTGGAGGGTAGTTGCTTTACAACGTTGCGTTACTTTCCACTGTACAATGAAGTGAATCGGCCCCATGCACACGTATGTCCCGTCCGTCTTGGACCTCCCGCACACCTCCACCCCTCTAGGTCACCACAGGGCCTTGAGCCGACTCCCTGTGCTATAGAGCAGGCTCCCACCAGCTATCTGCTTTACACACGGTGGTGTGTGTATGTCTAGCCTAATCTCCCAATTCCTCCTCCCACCCTCCCCTTCCCCCGCTGCATCCACATGTCTGTTGCCTACGTCTGCGTCTCTATTTCTGCCTTGAAAAATAGTTTCACCTGTACCGTTTTCCTAGATCCCATATATATGTGCTAACATACACTTTTAAGGTCACTTTTTTCCCTTTATCAACCATGTACTCTTACGGACATTCACTGAACTTCTACCCTGGGGTTTACTCTCTTCTTGGCATTAGGGAGAAGATAAAAGAAATGAAAGATGCACGCTAGACTCTAGACCCCAGATGCTAACGATAATGCAGGGCGGCTGTGACCAGGAGCAAACATTCAGCTCAAGCCCTTTCAGAACGAGCTGAACTCTGCCCACTTCCCAGAGTGATGACTGAGCCTGTGAGATGCATGAGCAATGGGACAAATGACTGAACAGGGGGGTCCACAGGACAACCGTCTAGAGAGGACCAGGGTGGTGGGGAGGCTGAGGCAGGACGAGGAGGAGAGGCAGCCGGAACATCCACCCATCGTGATGGACAGGGACTGCAGGGCATCCGGCTCGGGAGACGCACGTCCAGCTGATGGGGAGGGGTCCGGAGGGTCCTGAGACCTGGATACAGAGGTCAGGCCCACCTGGGGAGCTATGAACACCAGCCTGGCAACGGGGGTCTCATTCCACCCACAACGAGGGGCAGCATGCAACCAGGAAGGTGCTCCTTACTAAACTCATCCTTTATTCTTCACAATGTCCTCCACTAGAGAAGCCTCCTCAGTCCTGGCTTTGGAAAGCCCCCTTGGCTTAGAACGTGATTCTGGAGTCAGAGAGAGCAGGGTCGAGGTCTCCAGCCACAGGTCTTGGGAGATGCGTTCAATTGCTCTGAACCTCGATCTTCACCTTCCGAAGGGGGTGAGCTACAAACCCCAAGGAGCTTCGAGGCTGCTTCGGGCTGTGGGGGGCCCTGGGGAGGGGTTTCCTTTCGCGGTCAGGAGAATATCCTCAAATCAACCGTGGTGATGGTTGCACAGGTCTGTGGATACACCAGAAACCGCTGACTGGCACTCTTAAATGGGTGGGCCGCACAGTGTGTGAGTCATGTCTCAGTAGATGGTTCAAAGGGCAGAGGAAGGAGGGTCAGAAGACGGCTGTGCTGCACATGTGAGGAGCCGTCCAGCGGAGTCAGGCTTGACCATGCTGGGCGGCCGTCCAGGAGTCCCCAGGATGGAGGTCCAGACGGACACACACTCTGACTCTTCCTCCGCTGACGTTTACCCAACACTAGGAGGACATTTGCACCCAACGTGCCCTGGTTATAACACACACCCAGGGAATGGCCCTCCAGAGGCCCTAATTAGAGGGCTTCTGGGTGAGGAGTTTTCATTCCCCGTGATGACAGTCTTTCATCTTCAACCTAATGCTTTTATTTCTTAATAATAACAGGAGTGGGCATGCACAAAGCCCCTCCCCTCGGAGCTTGTGCCTCTCACACCCCGTAATTATCCCTCGTTCTGCTCTTGGGAAGTTTCTTCTAAAAGCTTTAGTCAGAAGGGAGCAAAACCCAGAAGTGGGCTACACGCTGTTCTCTGAAGTGGACGGTCACGACTTTGACTTGAACTGCGAGGGGCGCCCACCAACGGACATGGACGCTGAGCTGAGCCCCCAGTGGAAGGGGACGCTGCTCACTGCCTGCTTCTGTGGTTTCTGGGACAGAAGGCCTAGAGGGAGCCCCGTGGCTGATGGAGAAGCCCCCGAGGGCCCAGGGCTCTGGCCTTCCGCCGCCCGCCCCCCAGGCCTGTCCCTGTGGGCGTGCGACCTGCCAATTACAGATAACGATCCTGTACTAGGACAGTCACTTTGAAAGTGAAAGTGAAATCGCTCAGTCGTGTCCGACTCTTTGCAACCCCATGGACTGTAGCCTACCAGGCTCCTCTGTCCATGGAATTTTCCAGGCAAGAGTACTGGAGTGGGTTGTCAGTTCCTTCTCCAGGGGATCTTCTCGACCCAGGGATCGAACCCAGGTCTCCCTCATTGCAGGCAGGCGCTTTACCAGCTGAGCCACCAGGGAAGCCCTTAAAATTCCTGGCTCTGACACTGAAACGTTGGGTGGTTTTCCAGTAGGATTCCTTATTGAAGTGAAATCATCTTCCATGCCATTGGCACTGAATTTCAACGGAGACATGCAGCGATGGTTTTAGAGCTTGAACAACTGAACAAGGAACAAGGACCTAAACAAAGTTTGCATAAAGTTCAACAGTACTGCTATGAACTTGCTCCAGACCAAGGGCTCCAGCCTGCAGATCAGCTGACAGACACGAGATGAAGGTGTGAGGAAGAAGCACAGGAAATGGTTCTGCACGCAAATTCCTCTGCTCTCAGGTTCCCGGGCTGAGGACCGAGTGTGTCGGAGCAGACTGTCTGCAGTGCTCTCTCTGGCTCCGCCGTCATCTCCAGCACCTCTCAGACTACAGTTCTGTCCCCTGGGGTCAGGGTCACCAGGCCCGGCTGGGCTCAGAGGGCACAGGGGCCCGGGAGGGGAGGCTGCGCTTCACGTTTTTGCCCTCAAAGCAGCATCTCTCTCCTATTGCTTCAGAGACAAGCCAGCAAACCGCACCCCTTCTTCCTATAGCCAAGGAGCCTGTGTCCAAGCCCAGCCTGGAGAGGCGTGTGCGGCCCTTCCCTCAGCCTCCAGGGCGCCTGAGGGCAGCCTGACCCTGGCCGCTGGTGCCAGAGTGACCCAAGGTAGGGACCCGGAGATGGCGTATTTGTGCACAAAGCCTGCTGCAGGCTGAGCCTCGGAGGACCCGAGTTTTCAGCAAGTTCTTCAACCAAAAGGGCCCCAAGTCCTCCCTTTGAGAGCTGGAGGCTGCTCACCTCTGCCTTCCTCATCAAAGTCTCCAACTGTGCTTCAGCCCGCCTCACAGCAACTCTGTGTCAGAACTTGCCCCGAGCCTGCGAAGGAATGTGGCGGGAGCTTGCTGCCTGCCAAACAATTCTTTGTTGTCAGAACCAGGTGGGGGCTGGGGGGTGGGGAGGCTGCTGGCCTTGTTTCTCGTGTCTTTCTCCACAAACATGCATTAGGCCTCTGCCCTGGGCAAAGCCAGCTCATACTCAACTGTGGAGGAAGACGCTGAAGCCAGGGGCTTTCTCCTGCAGAGACCGGGGGATGGGTTCTGGACCCTGTGGGTATAGACGGAGCAACGCGGGTGGATTTTGTCCGGCTGGCCCCACACCTGACCCATCCCTCTGATCAATGTTCCTCTGAGATCCTCCCCCTCAGCTCCAGCTCCAGGGGGTCAGTATCCTCAGCCAAGGCTGGCCGGTCAGTGAATTCAACCCTGCCTGCTATGGAGACTGCTCCAGAAATGGAGGAGGCCAACTTCAGCAGGAGTCAGGTTTTGTTGGGGGGGGAAAGTCATCTTTTCTCTTGGGGTTGCTACATCTGTGATGGGCCAGAAAGAGCTGGCAGATGTCTTGCCTTTAAGAGGACCAGCCTAGCTACTTACTGATGGAGGGAACACTGGAGGAAACAGAGATCTGATGGCTCAGGCTGGGATCCTGGATCCAGCTGTACCTGAAGACACCACTTCCCTTAGCTTCTTCATCGCATGAGCAAACATTAAAAGAATCTATTTTTTCCACCCTGGCAATGAGTGCTGACGAGTCTTGCCTTCGGTTTGGTTGACAGAGGTGAACTACGGTCAGAGAAACAGCTTGGGGCACAGAACTCTGTTGTCCAGGTGAGGGTCTCTGAGTTTGGAACCAACTCCTCCAGGTCCACCGTGGGATGGGAAGCACAAACGCTCCTTCCTGGCCGGCAGCTGATGCGCTTTAGGTTTGGGCATCTGCTTGTTTTGATCATAAATGCGCAGAAACAAAGGAAAGGGCTGGTCATGTGCGGATGTGGCTACAGCAGCCTGATCCCAGACTCTCGGAGCTGAGAGGCAGGTGTGCGAGCTTGCCTGGCGCAGCCCGGATTTCCACCCGTTGTCCTGCACGATGTTTAGGAATCCCAGCTTGTTTGGTCAGAGTGTTGAGAGGCTCTTCCTTGTATCCATGCCAGAATGGGTCTGGCTCCTCAAACAGGAGCTTGAAAAAGGCCACGGAGGAAGTGCGTCTGCACTCACACCAGCCCGGCCTGTGCTCAGGGCTTCCCTCCCCAGAGAGCCAGGGGTTCACGGTCTCAGCACAGCGCTGCTGGGATCCACAGCACAGCGGCGCCTCCAGCCGCCTACACTGGCCAGTGTCACGATGGCCTCACAGAAGGACAGGAAGCTGCCCAGAGCCAGTCACATCAGGCTTCCTGATACCCCAATATCCAGAGCACCTATCTTGTCCCTGAAAGTCCCTGGTCTGTGTTTAAATACACCGCCTGCCACACACANTTAGTGTTTCTTTGCTTTCTGCCATAAGGGTGGTGTCATCTGCATATCTGAGGTTATTGATACTTCTCCTGGCAATCCTGACTCCAGCTTGTGCCTCATCCAGGCCGGCAGCCCATTAGTAGGATGGGCCATTTCTGATCACTCTCAAGATCAAGTTCTCATGGTGGAGAGAGGGACGGAGCAGGAGAAACCCCACTGTCAGGCAGGGGCAACAAGGCTCCCACTAGACCAAGCCCCTGGGCAAACACAGTGGCCCCAGAACCCGTGAGACCCTCAGAGAGTCCCAAACACTGTGACCCCAACTGGACCCCACTTCCCACTCCCCACCCCAACACCTTTCCCCCCAAACAGACAATACTACCTCGCAGCACCCCCCAGCCAACGCCTGGGGTTCACAGGTCGCCCACAGCAAGGGCGTCGGCCCAGATGTGTCACAATGACATTCTTGGAGGCTCTCTGCACCATCATGTTTAGATGTTAGGCCAAGTCGACTGCTGTTCTATGGGGGCAAGAAGGGGACTAAATAAATGTGCACGTGTGTGTGTGCACGTGTGTGCTTCTCCACGTCACATGGAGCCTACTTTGCAGTCAAGCACGCAGCAGGAGCCCATTGAATGCTTTGTTGATGCGAGTGTTTCTGGTTAACGCCTTACCCTAGATACTCTAAGGCAAAGACTGGGTATATTACACATTTTTAACACCTAACACGCCCTCCTTACCCACAGTCTGCCCTTCCCCAGGGCACCCGAAACACATCTGAAGATGCTGAATAAATGCTGTAGGCTTGCAAAAATAAACCTTAGCCCCCCCCACACTCAACTCAGCACACTCTTAATGCCCAGGGTCCGACCGTGACCGTGTGTGTCCTCGTGTGAGGGAACCAGGGGACAGAGGCCGGGACTGGCCGATACTGACCGCTGAGCCCGCTCCAAGTGTACACCCCCATCGGCCCCAGGAACGTCTGGTAGGGGTTGCTGACGCTGTTGTAGAAGGTGAACCCGGCGCTCAGCAGCGAACTGAACAAGCCAAGGGCCAGGAACACGAGGACCACCGAGTGCAGAGTCTTCGCGGAAGAATTGTTCAGTGTCCCTAAAACTGAAACAAGGGCTGGTAAGTACGTGGTGCCTGGACACAAAGACCAGCTCTGGGCCCGGGGGCTGATTCACCCTCCCACACCCGGGGCTCCTTCCCATTCCGCCTGCCTAGGCACTGGGGCTAGACACCCTCAGCCTTTCCATAACAGTTCCATATTTCTGGAGTGCAGGGGAGCGCCAGACATGGATCTGCACACGTGTAAAATGAAACACGGATGCCCTGCGCCCTCTGCCATCAGTTCCTGCTTTTGTCACCCTCCTCTCTCTGACCACCAGCCAGCCTCCCCTGGTGTCTGCTTTCCCGGCTCCCTCTGCTGTTTACAATACAAGATGGTCAGATCCCAGAGGCGCCTTGGCCCAACTCTTACCTGGAAGCCCAGTCATGCGTTTATAGAATATCTCCAAGAGCTGTCTGTGCATTGAGCCCCTTAGGAGACTGCCACTACCTTCAGTAAAGTGTTTACCAGGACGTTCCGTGAAAGAAGGAAAAACTAAACTGGGAATAAGATTTCAGAGTCCTCAATATTACACTAACAACATCACTGGAATGGCAAGGTGCAGGAACCGTGGTAGCAGAGATAAGAAAGCCTTCCTCAGTGATCAACCATCCCCAAGAAAAAGAAATTGAAAAGGCCAAATGGTAGTTGGAGGAGGCCTTACAAATAGCTGAGAAAAGAGGAGAAGTGAAAGGCAAAGGAGAAAAGGAAAGATATACCTATCTGAAGGCAGCGTTCCAAAGAATAGCAAGGTGAGATAAGAAAGCCTTCCTCAGCGATGAATGCAGAGAAATAGAGGGAAACAACAGAATGGGAAAGACTAGAGATCTCTTCAAGAAAATTGGAGATGCCAACAGAACAGTTCAGGCAAAGATGAGCACAATAAAGGACAGAAATGGCATGGACCTAACAGAAGCAGAAGATATTAAGAGGTGGCAAGAATACACAGAAGAACTATGATCATCTCACATGCTAGCAAGGTTATGCTCAAAATTCTTCAATACTAAGTGAACCGAGAAGTTCCAGGTGTTCAAGCTGGATTTAGAAAAGGCAGAGGAACTGGAAATCAAATTGCCAACATCCGTAGGATCATTGAAAAACCAAAAGAACTCCAGAAAAACATCTACTTATGCATCATTGATTATGCTAAAGCCTTTGACTGTGTGGATCACAACAAATTGTGGAAAATTCTTAAGGAAAAGGGAATATCAGATCGCCTTACCTGCCTCCCGATAAATCTGAATGCAGGTAAGAAGCAAGTTAGAACTGGACATGGAACAACGGACTGGTTCCAAATTGGGAAAGGAGTACGTCTAGGCTGCATATGGTCACCCTGCTTATTTACCTTATATGTTGAGTATATCATGGGAAATGTCAAGCAAGATGAAGCACGGAGTCAGGATTGCCAGAAGTATCAATAACCTCAGACATGCAGATGACACCACCCTTATGGCAGAAAGCAAAGAGGAACTAAAGAGCCTCTTGATGAAAGTGAAAGAGGAGAGTGAAAAAGTTGGCTTAAAATCCAACATTCAAAAAACTAAGATCATGGCATCTGGTCCCATCACTTCATTGCTAATAGATGGGGGAAACAATGGAAACAGTGAGAGACTTTATTTTTGAGGGCTCCAAAATCACTGCAGATTGTAACTGCAGCCATGAAATTAAAAGACGCTTGCTCCTTGGAAGAAAAGCTATGAGCAACCTAGACAGCATATTAAAAAGCAGAGACACTACTTTGCGAACAAAGGTCCATCTAGTCAAGGCTATGGTTTTTCCAGTGGTCATGTATGGATTCGAGAGTTGGACCATAAAGAAAGCTGAACACTGAAGAATTGATGCTCTTGAACTGTGGTGTTGGAGAAGACTCTTGAGAGTCCCTTGGACTGCAAGGAGATCTAACCAGTTCATCCTAAAGGATATCAGTCCTGAGTGTTCATTGGAAGGACTGATGTTGAAGCTGAAATTCCAATACTTTGGTCACTGATGTGAAGAACTGACTCACTGGAAAAGCCCCTGATTCTGGGAAAGATTGAAGGCAGGAGGAAAGGGGGAGAACAGAGGATAAGACGGTTTGACGGCATCACTGACTCAATGGACATGAGTTTGAGCAAACTCTGGGAGTTGGTGATGGACAGGGAAGCCTGCAGTCCATGGGGTCCCAAAGGGTCAGACACGGCTGAGTGACTGAACTGAACTGAGGAACCATGGCGGGGGTGGGAGAGAAAGAGTTCGAGCTTCCTTCTTTTCATTCCTGTTTCTCAGGGCCCGTAGGAGAGAGCCGGAGTTTCTCACATCTTCACCTAGAGCAGTTTAAAAGAACAGAAACCAAAACAGCCACAGACGCTTTCCTGTTCTGCTGTGGGTGGTGCGTTTTAAGGAACCAGGGCCCTAGAAGCCAGAGGGGACCCCCGGATGTTGTGCAGCGGGGGGCTGCAGAGTGTCATGCCAGACCGTGTCCTGGGAACAAGGAGCCCTCCGTCTGCAAGGTGGCCCTTTTCGTTGCTGTGGTATCGTAGCCATTGAAAGGTTCTTCATCCTGCATTTCTATGATATTAACCCTGGGTTCTAATGCTCCTTTGGGACCAATGCAGAATGCGCTCCATCCTCTCCTGCCTGGAGCTCTTCCCAATATTTGAAAAGAGGATGTAAACCCAGTGAGTTAGTCATAAGATGTGATTCCAAAGCTCCTGCCATCCTGGCCCTGAATCCACACACACTCTAGTCTGACTGTCCCTCCCATTCGTGATGGCCAGACGGGATCAGCTCTCCTGATAAGATGTGACCCTCCCTGCGTCATCCTCTGTCTATCTCTAACACCTACGTGTTAGTCGCTCAGACATTTTTGTTTTAAATCAGCAGGAGTCTGTGAAGGAGCTAAATTTGTCATCAACGGACAGAGGGTAGACGTGAAAGACATTTGAGCCAGCAAGTCTGCCTTCACACATCCCGGCAGTGGGGATGTGGTCGTAAAGACCCTCGTGCATGAGACAGTTCATCCTGATGGCCAGGTCATGTGGCCCGGCCCGGGCTGGAAGCATCCCCAGCTGGACGGAGCGGGGGCCGAGCAGAAGGCAGGCGGGCGTGGCAGCCGCAGCCTGCAGAAGAGGACAGAGGCGGGAGAGGAAACAGCCAGGAGGGAGGAGACCCGGGTGTGGGCTCCGGTGAGCGCAGCCACAGCCCTGCCAACCCCACAGGAGACCAGGGAGGAAGGGAGGGGGAAATACCAGCTCAGCAACACGCAGGCCATGAGCTCACTGCCCGGGGAGCCGGGCCCCGGGGGCAAAGTCCAGTGCACACAGGGCCAGTCCTCTCCTCCCCGGTGCTGTCTGGCCCTCACCGTTTCTGCTAATGACCCACGGGCAGGGCTAAGCTCTCCACACAGCTCACTTGTTTACACACTCTGGCTAGGTCTTCTGGGTGATGCGCTCGGTAAGAACTCTGACAGGCCTTGTCTTAACTGAGAACATGGTCCTCTTCGTCACCCGCTGTTGCCCAGGTGGGGAGCCCTGCCCTCCTGGGGGAGGGACCATCTGCACTGAGACTGTTCCAAGGTCCGGCCCTCAAGCCCGGGGCTCTGGCTTCTTGGTCTGTCTCACCCTGGAGATGAGTGAGGTGCTTTGCCAGGCTGTGAGGCTTCACACAACTATTTAGCTACTTGTGGAAGATGACGCCAGGGTAGAAAAATCAAGAAGCAGGACACACCTGCTTCAAGACGCAAGGTCAAATGCCGTGGATCCTTCCAAACTTGGCCACCCCCCGGGAAGAACTACTTCTCCTGCGTTCCACGACCCCCTGGCTCTGCCTGAGCATCAAGGAGGAAGCTCCAGCACCAGATCAGAAGTTTCCTGGGGACTAAGGGAACTCTGTCCTTAGCCAGTGAGACATAATTTGGATACTTGACTGGAAAATAGGGCTTCCCAGATGGCACTAGTGGTAAAGAACCCATTTGTCAATGCAGGAGACACAAAAGATGCAGATTCAGTCCCTGGGTCCCCTGGAGGAGGAACTGGCAACCCACTCCAGTATTCTTGCCTGGAAAATTCCAAGGACAGAGCTGCCGGGCGGGCAACAGTCTATGGGGTTGCAATGAGTCGGATATGACCGAGCAACAGAGCACAACTAGAAAATAAAAATTTCAGCATGGGAAAAATGTCATGTGTCCAAGTGCCTGAAGTCCAGAAACTTTCTTATTAAATCTGTAAATGGAGGGTCATTTGTGAATGGTGAACATTCCACATTTTAGACTAAATTAGAAAGGAACAATCTGGTGTGGCTTTCTTTTTGACCATTGGTAAAATTCACTAGGGGACTTCCCAGGAAACTCAGTGGTAAAGAATCCACTTGCCAATACAGGAGATGCGGGAGTCCTGGGTTCGATCCCTGGGTTGGGAACATCCCCTGGAGTAGGAACTGGCAACCCACTCCACTATTCTTGCCTGGAGAATACCACGGACAGGGAAGCCTGGTGGGCTGCAGTCCATGGGGCCGCAAAGAGTCAGACATGACCGAGCAACTGAGCCCACACGGACATCAAAGGGGAGTCAATGTGACTCCCACTTTTCATGAATTAATGTGACAATTTGGCTTAAGTTTAACTGCCACATTTCAAAGCTGTATTTCAACGTTCTGAGATCCCTGCCCCACAGTGTGACAGCAGTATCTCCTGCACCCTCCAGCCTCCAACCTTCTCCCCCAAGCCCGCTCAGAACTCAGACAGTGAAAGCTAGAAATTCGGGGAAAGTTGAGCAAGAATGAAATCACAATCAACCTCCACAGCATCTGACAGCTGCTCTCTGCCTACAAAATTAGCAAATACATTCAGTTCTTTTTTTCTTGCTTTGAGGGGCCGAGCATCAGAATCAAGAAAGCCGTATCACAACTGGAACCAACTGTCCGGATTCTAGCGGCTCTGGCAAAGAGGCCAAAATGTATTGGGCAGTGGGCAGTGCAGACGTGAACGGTCATCTGAACGTCTGTGCTTCCTGGGCCTAAAGATTTATATTCAAGCCCCAGGGGCCACCTGGCCCTTCTGGTCTGCTTTTCAAGAAGTCCCGGGAAATTGAGGCAGAGCTGCTGGCTTTTGTGTGGGCAGGAGCAGCCTCCATGCCCTACTCAAGCATCTGGACACCAGGGGGACTGACCCAACGGAACTCCTGGGTCTCTGGACCCCAGTGCAGCCCTGGGAGAGCTCGCTGACTCCACAGACCCCAGAGTGTGGCCTGGGAGCTCCCCCTGGACGTCCCAGCTGCTGGCCTCGACCCTGGGAAATTGACCAGGGTTATCTCAGTCTGGGGAGTGCGGGGGTGGCTTCCAAGGTGGCTCAGCGCAGTGGTTTAGATTCCCCCTGCCAAGGCAAGAGACAAAGGTTCGATCCCTGGGTCAGGAAGATCCCTTGGAGGAGGAAATGGCAACCCACTTTGGTGGGCTGAAGAGGAGAGCTCCGGTTATCTTGCCTGGGACAGTCCATGGACAGAGGAGCCTGGTGGGCTACAGTCCATGGGGGTCACAAAGAGTCTCACACGGCTGAGCGCTCATGCACACACATCTCAGCGAGAAGAGCAGGGGGAGCCTCTTCTGCCCCTTTATGCTCCACCTCCCAGCGGGGCCGCGTCTCTAGTGGCAAATAATAAAGTCACTCCTACCTGAGGGGAAGTACGGGATGTCTGTGGGGTAGGACTGGGCAGGTAGGAGAGGTAAGAAGGGGCTTTTTGTACATTCTGGAGAAATAAACCTGCTCTCTTTGTTCTTGCAGTTACTTGATTTTTCTTAGCAGATTAGCTTCTCTCATCATTTTAAATGTGAGCCAGTAGTACAACTCTGAGTTCCCTGGGAGCAAAAAGGAAAGAGACTTGGAGGAAGGGAGGCACGTGTGGGGTGAAACGCCCCCGTGTTCTCATAGCAACCTGCACACACCTTAGCCCTACAGGTAGAGCAGGCTGCTTGCTGGATTTAACCAGTGGGGGTGTCTTTCCCCAGCAAGACTATGTGGTGAGTCCACACAGGGACTCTGTGCAATTCCACTCAGGATCCAAGCCCTTCACTTATGTAACAGCTGCCCAGGGAGGATTGTTTTTTGAACTGAAATTAAATAACTAGAACTTTTGGCGTAGCCAAGCAACATGCTCACTCGTGACACACAGCCCTTTTCATCTGGGTGTCGGACAAGCTGGGATCCTCTGGACAAGGCTGGTGGAGCTCCTGGAGAACCTGAGCTGCCCAAACAGTCTAGTTAGGCCATGGAGAGGTTCCTCCCCAGGGTGGACTGATTATTTTCCGCAAGTGACATGTGGTTGGCTGGATTATTTTTGCACGTTGAGCTCAGCCACCGTCGCTTCATGCTGCTCTTTCATTTCAGAAATCAACAGCCCCAGATTGGCACCATGTGATCAATCCTAGGCTGGAACAGAACAGGGTTTTAGCAACATTTATCACACTTTGGAGGTTTCAGTCTGACCTCTTGCTGGCTAAGTAACTGACCGGGTTAACTTCTTATTTGAAAAGGCCATCCATCAGTGCAGAGCAGAAAAGTGGCATTCATATCAATGACTTTACTGCGCTGCCAATGGCTGGTTTCTGATTGGAAATGAGCCTATGTGGTCCTGAGGAAGCCATCTCACTGCAGGCTTGTCGTTCTGCTCCCTGGGGACCTGCACCAGCCAAGGCACCGTCTACCTTGTGGCTACGTGGCTTTGCCCCCCGCTGCAAGGACAGTTGGCAAGTGTTCCACTTCGAAGGCTGCTAAAGCTACCAGCACTGAAGGCCCCCTGGGTTCCGAGGGGTCCCCAGCAGATTGTTACCCCCTGAAATTGAGCAGCACCTCAGTGTCTGGGAGGCAGAGTGCCGCCTAAACCTCTGTGTGGCTGGAGGCAGGGACCTGAAGCTGGAATGTCTCTCTGGGGACCAAGAATAAAAGAAGAGAGCCAGGCAAGGCAAATGCAAATACTCTGCCTCCTTTGTGGGCACACACTGCCCTGCAGCGCCCACCGGGCCCCGCCGCCTTCAGGGTTATCCTTGCCCACGGCTGCCCCCACCCTCCGACAGTCACCGTGCTCACGTCACCCTCACAGGGCTCTAGAGACCGGCTGGCCCACCCAGATCTCCTCTGAGCTCCCAGGAGGCAGGGAGCCAGGGAGCTCATTGAAGCCATTTACCTCCAATGGGAACTAACTGGTTGTAAACAGACACTGTATGAAAATTTAAAAATTCCCAGACTGTTGTCTTATATTTTAAAAATTGAACATGTATCTGGAAATTCAGGAGCTAGAGGAAGTTTTAGTTTTGCAAATGGTATTCACAGAACTGAAAGTGGGACTGAATCTCTGAAAGTCTTTGTCTTTTGTTGCCATGAAGTGAATTCTCCTCATTTTCCTGGGGAGCTGAGGTCAGTACAAGAGAAGACACGTAATGCCACTAAAATACTGGCAGAGACTTTGCTTTTGCTAAGATATAAAAGGCAGATTCATAATTTGGAAATATAATTATGCTGCTCTGGAATTAAGGAAATAATTTCATTAATAAATTAAGTCACAAATTAGAGCTAGAACTTGGAGTTAAGGTCAAAGGCTCAAACTCCCAACTTTATGCATGGCTTGAGGACTAAACATTACATTTGCATAAGATAGAAAATGATGTAAGTTTAGGGCTTCCCTGGTGGTCTAGGGGCTAAGACTCCAAGGTCCCAGAGCAGGGGGCCCAAGTTGGGTCCCTGGTCAGGAAACTGGATCCCACATGCAGCAACTAAAGAGCCACATGCTGTAAATAAAAGGTCTCCCAACTAAGTGGGAGTCTCACAACTTAGTCCCACAACTAAGATCTGGTGCTGCAAATAAAGAAATGAATAAAAAGAAATACTAAAAAAAAAGGCAAATCAGCACTTGAACAGAATTAGACTTCTGTAATATAGCTGAGAGCTTTTCCTGTCTTATAAACCTACCATCTTATTGGTAAACTTATTGGAAACACTGTTTTTTTTAAAAAATGATGTATGTTTATAAGAAAAGAGGTGAGGACTGCATAATACCTGATAAAGCCTATATAGTAAGCTACGTGAAACATCATTCAGAACAAAATCTATTTAAGGTGCTAAATAGTTTATAAATTTTGTTTTTAAATTTAGAAAGCAATGGTATGTATTTAAACTTCGAATGCCAAGTAAGTAGCTAAATTCTGCTTATTCGCAGTGAATTTTTGTTTTCTGTGCATTGAGAGTACAGCAGTAGTATATACAAAATCAGAAAAAAATAGGAATTTCTGTAAAATATTTCAATTAATGTAAGTGATGGAAATTTAATATCAATTCCAACAGCAATGAGATAGTTTGGAAGTAAGAATGAAAATTCAAATCAGTGAAAGAAATGAACCTGAGATACAGGGATAAGAAATTGCCCGTATTTTCTAATTCATTTTTTCTTGTCAATAAACCCTGGTGCTGTTTAAGGCTTCCCTAGTGGGCTCCGATGGTAAAGAATTTGCCTGCAATGCAGGAGACTCAGGTTCAATCCCTGGGTCGTGAAGATTGTTCTGGAGAAGGGAATGGCAACCCACTCCAGTATTCTTGTCTGGGAAGTCCCAAAGACAGAGGAACCTGGTGGGCTAAGATCCATGGGGTCGCAGAGTCAGAGATGACTGAGCAACTAACACACACTGTTTAAACCCAAGTCTACTAGAAGGATTTAGACTGTTCTGCTAATAGACCCAACCAGACCTGAGGAATCTGAAATAGTGATTCAGTGAATTTTCAAAATTAAAAATATGCCATCTTATCTACAGCCCAACTAAAATTTACCAGGAAATTATTTCTGAAGGGCTATTTGACCCAAATACAGGACGACGTGACTCTTAACCAGTTAATTCAGCCTCACTGTGCGCGTTCAAATAAGCTGTAATTACCTTCGAAATTTTTGTCTGATTCTGCAAGTCCGTGATTCAGTTCTTGAATGCTCTTCCCACGAAGGAGGCCGTAGGTGATGATCACACTACCATTCGAAGAAGAGTCGCTGATGGCGATGGTACTGCGGATCCATTGCTGAGTCGCCAGAACAGAGCAAAGGACGACGAACGCCCCCAGGCCGCTGACGAAGCTGAAGAAGAACGTCAGTGTTTTCTTCGCTGTCGGCATCTTCTCAGGGCAAGAAGGGTCCTAGGGTAAAAACGCAAAGATCTTTTTATACTATTTTTGAGCCTTCTCATTTGGAGCCCAGTGTTTAGAAATGGAGTCTCACACTTCTCTTGTGAAATATAAAACCTCGCTCTTCAGGAGGAAGGGTTACACTGGTGAACGTTGGACTGCGACTAGGGTCATAAAGATTTACGGTGCTGAACTTTGGTCTGGAGTAAGAGGTTGCTATGGTTACATCCAACTGGGAGGAACAAGGGATAAACACAGTCTTCCAGAGACATCACCAATCACGCAACCCACTTATAACTCTTTTTTTTCAAGGGCCTTGAAAACAAAATCAGCCTACCACATCAGGACAGAACTAGAATTCCTAAATAATACGCCCTGTACCCCTCAAATGTTGCTGATTCTAGCAGCCAACAACAGAGTCCCACCAGCCGAGGGTTAATGATGTGACCCTAACAAAGGTTCCAAAGGAAATCCTAAGGAGACGAAGCTCTTGCTACAGGTCCTAGGGATTGGAAAGAGGAAAGCTGACACCTTATTTTTAGACTTTGATAAAGAAGTGCACCTTTCAAATTTCCTCTTTCAAACTGGATCACACTCGTCCGTTATTTAAATTGTAACTTGAGAGGTTTCATCTTTCTCATTAGTTCTCTGATGGAAGTGATCCTGAACAATCCTGCATTGTCTTTGCGACTCCCTTCTCTCTGTTGGGTGGTGAATAGTTTGTAAACAACCATTTCTGGCCTTTAGAGGAAGTCCTCCATTTGTCAAGAAGATCATTTCCTGAGTTAATAAATAGATGTTCACAGAATATTAGGTACACTTCTTTTTATTATATTCTTTATATTGAACTTTCCTGGTGACTCAGGGACTAAAGAATCTGCCTGCAATACAGGAGACCCGGATTCAATCTCTGGGTCGGAAGATCCCCTGGAGCAGGGAATGGCAACCCACTCCAGTATTCTTGCCTGGAGAATCCCCATGGACAAAAGAGCCTGGCGGGCTACAGTCCATAAGGTCACAAAGAGTCGGACACAACTGAGTGACCAACAATTTTTCTCTGGCTCTAAAGTTAAAGTCATATTGTGCATGTACATTTTCATCCTGTGCTTTTCTTAGAAAGCACCTAACTTGTTTGTGGAATAAGTTGATAATGTCTATTTTTCCCAGTAGAATAACCAGGCCATCACTCATTTAACAATGTTCTCTTCTGGCCATTTTGCATATTATTAGTTTTTTTGTTCATATAAACTTGCTAGAGAACAGATTAAGAGTTGCTGGTTCAAACGGACATTTCAATACCAAAGCCAAATTGGCCTCTCACTGATAAGCCTGCCAGCAATGGAAGAGATTGCTCTTTCCTACAGGACTAGAAAATGCTGGCTATTAAGTTCATAAATTGTGGCAATTTTTATAGGGAATATTGCATTATGTTGCAATTCTATGATTTTCTGGCCCTACAGTTTTGCCTTTTGTAGAATTTCATAGAAATTGTTCCTTACAGTATGTAGTCTTCCTTTCCCAGTTTGAGATTCACCTGACTACCTCTAAATTTGCTTATCTGTTCAGCAGTTCATGGATATTTGGGTAGATTCAAGTTATTGACTGAAAACTCCAATACTTTGGCCACCTGATATGAAGAACTGACTCATTTGAAAAGACCCTAATGCTGGGAAAGATTGAAGGCAAGAGGAAAAGGGGATGACAGAGGATGAGATGGTTGGATGGTATCACTGACTCAATGGACATGTGTTTGAGTAAACTCCGGGAGTTGGTGATGGACAGGGAGGCTTGGTGTGCTGCAGTCCACGGGGTCGCAAAGAGTCGGACGTGACTGAGCTACTGAACTGAACTGAACTGGCTATTTTGAATAAAGTTGTTCTGAACATTTAAGTATTAGTCTTTCTTTGCTACACTTTCTTTTCTTTTACTTAAACATACAGGAGAAAAACTGCTGGGACATACAGTGAAAGTGAAGTTGCTCAGTCGTGTCCGTCTCTTTGTGACCCCATGGACTGTAGCCTACCAGGCTCCTCTATCCATGGGATTTTCCAGGCAAGAGTACTGGAGTGGTTGCCATTTCCTTCTCCAGAGGATCTTCCCAACTCAGACATCCAGTAAAACGTACTTAACTGCTGAAAAAACTTCAGAAGTGTTTTCCTAAATGTCTGCACCCATATGCATTCCCATAAGCAATGTGTGGTATTTCCAGTTGCTTCAGGTCCTCACCAACATTTGCTATTATCAGTGTTTTTTAAAAATGGCATTGTAACAAGTGCTTAGTAGTTTCTCCCTATGGTTTTGATGGTTTCACAAATATTAATGGTGTTGGACATCTTTTTATGAGCTTAATTTTTACCTATATCCTTTCTTTGGAGAAGTATCTATTTGAATCTTTTGCTCTTTTCTTAAATTGGTTTGACTTCTTTTTGTTCAGTTTTAAGAGCTTTTTATATGTATATTCTGCATATAAGTCCTTTACTAAGTTTATGTTTTGCAAACATTTTCCCCCAGTCTCTGGCTTGCATTTTTATTTTCTTTACAGTATCTTTCAATGAGAAATATTTTCTAATTTGGATGAAGTCTAAGTACCAGCAGGACAGAGGAGCGGGTGGGTTACAGAACATGGGGTTGCAAAAAGTTGAACATGACTCGGTGAGTGAGCACACACACACACACACACACTAAGTGCCAATTGTTTTCATTTTGTGGATTGTGCTTTAAATGTTTGGGCTTCCCTTGTGGCTCAGCTGGGAAAGAATCCGCCTGCAATGCGGGCTTTGCCTAACCCAAGATCGCAAAGGTATTTTCCCCCTGTTTTGTTCTAGAATATTCATGAATTTAGTTCTTACACTTAAGGTTATTTTCTTATTTTGAATTTTTTTCAAAATAGCATGAAGTAAGGGCTGAGGTTCATTCTTATACATATGGTATGCAATCGTTTAAGCTTGATTTCTTGAAAAGAGTATCCTTTCCCTGGTGGATTGTCTTGGCGTCCTTGTTGGAAATCAGATGACCACATTCGTGTGGGTCTCTTTCTGGATTCTCTATCACAAAGTCTGTCTTCCCAGCTCCGTGTCAATTCCAAGCACTGTCGGTCACACTGCTTTCCAGATGCTCTTATCTGTGACCTCAGATACCTTCCTCCCACCTGTATGGACCAGCTCTCAACCAAAGATTCGAGGGATGCCCTCTGCAGATCTCGAGAGCTTGCTTTTGCTTCTTTCTCTCTCCAGGGTCTTACACCAATTTTAGCCACTTTTGCTTCCCCAAACTCCGATTCTGTCTCTTCACCTCGAGATGACTATTGGTTCTCCACGGCTTCCTCTCCTGCACCATGCCCTGCAGATTCCTCCTTGGAAACTCCGTGATGCAGGGGTCTGTCGCACCTCATTCCTTTCTTTTCTCTCATGAATGAAAGCCCATATGTGGCCAGATGTCCAGTGTCTAGAAACCATCCTTTTATGTGTAATTTTCTGCTTTATTGCCAAGGACCAATCTGGTCCCTATTCTTCCATCAGGGTCAGAAGAGGCAGTCAGTGTTGATTCTTGAATGTCAGCATGGTTGCCCCATTTTCTTCCTCTCAAAATTTTGTACGTATTACTCTGTTGTCTTTTAACAATGAATGCTGCCACACAAGAGTCTGGGGTCAGCTCTACTTCTTCTCTCTGATTACAACTGTCTTTTTCTGATGGCATAGTTGCAAAAGTCTCTATTCATGAAATGCAGTGGCTTGACCTGAATATATTTTGTATAGATTGTTCTGTATTTCTTTTTGCGTCTTATTCTGGGATTGTCTTTTCAACATCTCATTCGGTTCATTGCAGATACAGTTTTTTTTTGTATCCTATTTCTGTATTCATTGAAATTCTACCTTGAGGCACACCAGTCACTAATGCGTTGGGTTACCTCTGACCTCCACGCCCACCATCTCTCCTAATAGCTTTGGTCTCTTTGCCTTCTTCCCCTGGCCTCACTGTTACTTTCTTCTGTGAGGCTAGCTCATCTTTCAATCAAGTCTTAGTCTAGTTTATGTATTTAATCCAAAATTGTGCGGCTTGGAGTTTCAGTCTGTCTCCCTCGCTCTAAAGCTTTCTTTTCATTTGGGTTTTCTTTTTTTGCCATCTCATCATTCATTCCTTATTTTAATAAACTCTCATTGTAAGTCCTTACATAGCACAGTAGTGGTCGTGTTAGTCAGTCGGTCATGTCTGACTGTTTGTGACCCCGTGGACTGTAGCCCGCTGGGCTCCTCTGTCCATGGAATTCTCCAGGCAAGAATACTGCTGTGGGTGGTCATGCCCTCCTCCAGGGGATCTTCCAGACCCAGGGATCGAACCTGGGTCTCCTGCATTGCAGGCCGATTCCTTACTGTTCGAGCGACAGAGAGAATTCTTTACCGTCTGAGACACCAGGGAAACCCTACATAGCATAATACACGCAAAAAAACAACTCAGTGGATTGTGTATTTTCCAGCCCAGGAGCTTACCCTGTCTTTGTTTCCTTTCGCTGTATGTCTACATAGTTGTCTTGGCTTTTTTTTTTTTTAATCTTGCTTATTTTTAACCTGGGCAGTTCTGTCCAACCATTGCTATGTTCTTATATGTTGCAAGTGATTTCCCTGATAATTTTCTTACCTTATCTGGGGTCACTTTGTCTCATCTTTCCCAAGCTTCAGCTTTCAGCTGGATGACTTTCTCGAATTTTTTTCTCCCTGACTGCATCCAGGAAGAAAGAATGTACAGAGCTATGACAAAATACGTAAATCAAGTTGGCTTAAGCTCACATACATCTCAGGTAATGGAAGTCCCATGCAAATCTGGTACAGGGCCACAAACCAGCTCACCTGTCTTGTTCTCTTTCCCGGCTGTGTTTCTTTAGGCTCTGCTCCTGCCGTCATGAACTTTCATCCTTGTCCAGAACTTTTATCCTCTCAGCTTTAAGCTATTGCAAAAACATAAGTAAAATAAATGCCTCTGCTCCAGAAGTCTCCCGGCATTTTCTTAGCTTTAATCCTGCTGCACACCTACATCCTAGAGTTGCGGGGAGGAGGGGTCTTGTTACTGGAATTGCTTTTGGTTCATTGTGAGTTTGGGGAGGTAGGATCTGTGACGCCGCTACAAGTCAAGAACCTTTTCCAGCCGGGCTGGGAAAGCTCAGAGGACAGGGCAT